CCAATCAGCCAAAATACAAAACGCTGGTGTTAGCAGCGTTTTTCATCAGCTGCTTGCAATTTATTTGTAAAATGACATTTCAATCCATGTAAATCATCTCCCTAATCTGAGAAATCTCATCTCTCTCATTCGCATCCCTTCTTCCCATCTGCATCTTCTCATCTCGCAACTGCTTCTTTCATATTCAACCCATCACTGATTTTTTTTTTTTTTAAAAAAAAAACACCAACAACAATGGAAACGACTAATGACTCATCTTCATCTTCGTTGCCATCTGATTCTTGCCATTTTTTCTTTCCCACCGTCTCTCGCCTCTGATTCTTGCCTCCTCCACTGCTCCTCTTCTCCTCTTTGCGTCTGATTTGGTGTAGAAGAAAATACAAATGTACTGTGGGTTTCTTGATTGATCTCCACTGCTCCTCTTCGTGTCTGATTTGGGGCAGAAGAAATGGGTAGGGATTTGGGCGTCTGATTTGGGGTAGAAGAAACGGGTAGGGCTTTGGTTTACAAATGACTGAATGAGTGTGGGTTTGGTCAAATGGTTAATAATAATAATAATAATAATAATAATAATAATAATAATAATAAAAGTACGGTGGTGGTTTCAGCTTACATTTAATAATAATAATAATAATAATAAAAATTGTAAATGTAACTAAAGAATTAAAAAAATGGTAAATATGACTAAAGAATTAAAAAATTAACACAATACCCTTATAGGTCATTTTACATATAATCAGCTAAAAATAAACAGCTAATTTACCAAACACTTTTCTATAACCAGCTAATATAATCAGGTGGTCAAACAACTAACACAATCAGCTATTAGTTATCAGTTAACTCAACCAGCTATCAGCTATCAGCTAATTGCCAAACACCTCCAAGGTGAGTATTTCGAGTTTTAAGTTTTCTAATGGATGCAAGTGTTTTGTCTTATTAATCTAAGATTTTTATTTAAGCAGGCAGGGAGCATGTCTCCAAGAGATCAGTTATTACGTGAGAGAGCTGCCATACATGAAAGTATTTCTCATGTAAGACTAATTGTTAGTTCATTATATTGCTGTTGCGGTGTTCATTTTTTTATGCTTAGTTTCTTATACTGATTTTGATTAATTAAGGCTCTTTTGGAGATCGGTGGTGTACACTGCTGCTTAATTCTATTGTTATCTTAGGCTTGCATGCATAGAAATGTGGGGAAACTCAATGTGGTTTTGGAAATTATGATCTTAGCCTTTGAAGTTAGAGTAGACTGAGAAGCTGATGCCATGTTAATATGCTACTTTCTTCATTGAAGGAATTTGAACTACTCATATAGATATGAAGGGCACAGTGACACTGGGAAAAATAATCCTTAATCTGGATCAAGACAAGTATCATTCTGAAGTTGTAAATGCCCCAAGACATTTGGCATAACTGCATTAGTATATCAGAATTCTTTTGCTAGCTTCATTGGTGTTATTTGTCATCATCTTCCTAGCAACAAAGGAAATTATATGTAAATGGAATTTCTTCTGTTAGCAAGTGTAGGTGAAAAAGAAGGCAAAAACTAATTGCCTTTCCAGCAATTGAAACTGTTCTAGCAGTAATCCATCGCTACAGTTCTCTGGCTGTAGGCATAATTTTTTTTATTTTTTAATGACATAACGCGTCGGTTTTTAACTACAAATCGACGTGTTATGTTAAATTTTTTTTTAAAAATTAACTACATAAAACGTCGGTTATTTCCTACTAACCGACGTTATAAGTTGTATTAATTAAATAAAAAAAATACAACGCCAGTTTTTATTTAACCGATGTCGTATG